ATTGTCTAGAGCTATGGATACATGACTCTTATGACAGTGAAACTTATCCAAGTGTAGAGTTACTCCTGACTCAAGGGGTAGCTTTGTACTTCAGTAAAATGACTGACACTAGTGGGCATGCCTCCTGTTAGTTTTTTCCTGTTAAGAACATACAGACTAGGGACAGAAATTACACAAACTGGGATAAATAATCAGAAACTGGTTCAAATGTGTAACACAACAGAAGCTCAGTGCAATTAAACTGCTTTCAAAATGGCTGAAACTGTTTTAAGATAAACCTGGATGGATGTAGTATCAGATTTTAACTGATTTAGGTTAAATCTGTTTATTGAACTTTGGTTCCAGATCCCCTCCCGATTTTGAAGTTAACTCCCAGTCCCCCAGCATCCCAGGATGTTTTGCACCTCCCAGGAAACCATCCGCCTCACAGATTGGGTGTGCTAGCCTTGGCCTGAGCTGTCTGCTCAAGCTGAGCATGGAGTCATGCTTTAGCACCCCCTGGCTCCTGACCAGAACCACTGTAGACACGTGGCTGTATTTCTGGAATAAAAAATGAATGTCTGTTCACTTGCTTATTGGTTCTATCTGTGTAGTTTAGACTAACCTGCAAAGAATCGGTTCAGCTTGGGCTTTTTGACTGTCTGTCCTTAGCCATAGTAAAATACCTTCAAACAAATACAAGTGGAGCATAAAAAAAAAAAAAAAGCCCCAAAGGGTAATGGACTAGCTTCCAATATTTATTTGGGCCTTTTCAAATTATATGGAAAAGCTTATTTTTAAAGCTACTCAAAAATGTTAAGACAAGGTTCTCCCCCAAACAGCATGTGGGGAAAAACTCTCATTTTACATTTGCAATCAAGGAAACCTTATTAAATACATTGGCTATCATTAAGCTGCTGCCAAAAGCCAGATATGGTCCATAATAGAAATCAACTATGAAGTTGATTAAATGTAGCCAACACTGAGCATGACTTCAAAACAGATAGCCCATATTAGGTAAATGCGCTGATGGGAACCTACCACAAGGATAGGGTAGTGCAGTTGGTCTGAATATGATGTATGGTAGTGCCTATTGAGCGCAGTCCCCCTCAGCGCTGACCCCTTTTTAAGTTGCGGTGAGCCACTACATTGCATACATTTCCACTTCCACCAACTTCAGTCTCACACTGGAGCTTAGGTTTTTTTCCTATTTCCAATAATTTCTGTTTCTTTACCAGCCATAAATGTCTGGCAAACATTATCAAATGAGGCCCCAAACAGTTTACCTAGAATCCCTTTGTTTCCCCTTCTCTCAGCCTGTCGCAAATGATTAGTGGGGCTCTGCCCTCCATGAGGTGGAGCCAGACCAGGTTGCCCTGCACCTCACCTGCATATACATTTTTGGAGGATTCCAGGACTCATGACGAGAACATCTGGTTCCATTCATGAATGGAGGGCTAATTAAAACATGGTTCTTTTGTGGTGGGGGCGTAACTGGAGTCATGCACATAATGAGCAGTGCTGAGCTGTGGGGTCACCTTGGCTTTAAATGCTGTTGACTGTTCGGGCCCAGCCCAGTGAACTCTTCAGTGAATCATGAGTCTTCTGGCTTTGGACTAATATCATGTGTAGTTTGTACTATACAGTATATATGTGGCTGCCTCTTGTGGGCTAAGATCAAGTGTAGCTTGCTGTGCTGGTCTGTTGCCCCAACCAAGATCACTTTAGAATGGCATTGCATAGTAGAGGGTGAACCCCTGTCCAATGCACTCCATATGGGATGATACCTTACGAGTCTGGTACAGCCTCCCAGTGGGAAGATCTCTACTACACCCCTCCTTTATGAAAATGGGGTACTGCCCCCTAACTGCACCAGTAGCCATTGGCTAAGGTCAGGTGAGACTGGGGAGCATCTGAACACCCAGTCCTCCAGGCTGGGGTCTGCGCATAGGATGCCTGCCAGATGGATTTGGGAGTATCTGAAGTCCCAAGCTGAAAAGTCTGAGGTGGAGGATACTTGCTGGTTGTAGTGCCACATACGTTTTTTGAATGATTGAGTTTTGCCCAATCGATAGGATTCAGAACTGATTTTTGGCTAGTTTGACCTGGGATATGAATAATTATCAAAAAAAAATTGTGTGGGTGTATGCATGTAAAATGCATCAATTCTGGATGAACTAAGTCTATGGGTACTGTATGTAAATGACTATAGCTATGTTTATTTCAGTGTCAGTGTTTTCAAATGTGCTTAAGGAGAACAGGATCTGACAGTAAGGAGCTGGGGGGGAGACCACTCAAAGCAAATCTCTATACCTGGAATATAATAATACATTTATATATTTTTCCATATATAGAATCTAATTATTGGGGGGGTTGTCTTGTATTAAGGGTCATCTTCTATATTCAAGTAAATATGGTAACTGAGATAAATTTTAATTGTTTTCATAAACTTTGATATAACATTTCCCCTTTAACCATGTGTTCTCTGTGAACTTACTTGTACTGCCAAGTATACTCAAGATCTATTCTTGCTGTTTAGGAAAATGTTATGACTGTCTAGTGCTGATCTTTATTCCTTTGCACTGCAAAGTTAGTTAGTTATTCAATATGTTGCCTTTTTATATTTCAACAAGTACAAAAGGGTTGAAGCTACAGTACTAAAGTTTTCCAGAAGTTCTGTTGGCTGTTAGTTACAGTTTACTTTTTACATTTAAAACAACCCTCTTTTAACTGCAAACTATTTTAATTGGGATTTTACTGTAGCACTGTTGTTTAGGATTTTTCTTATACAGATTACTAGGAAGAATGCAGGTTCTTACTACATAATGTTGCAGAGCTATAGCTGTGCACGCAGTAAGCTTCCTTTTGCTAGACTTATGTATGAATTTTTTTTTTTGTTTTTTTTTCTGAGACATCTGTAGATTCTTGTGGTATTCTTATTTAATATTTCAATATTAAATAAGAGTCACTATTTTATTCCCTGAAGCTCTACTTTCATATCTTCTGTGCTCAGACTTTAATTCTCATTGGCAAGAGCACCTGCCTTTCTTTGAGAAGGAAAATTAGTAATGGTGGTTCTGGACCTGTATGTCAAAGTGTTGGGTCAGTGTGTTCCAGCTGATGCATTAAGAAATTGTTGTGACAACAGAAGTTGAGTGAATATATTGGGCATTATTCTGATTAATTTTTTGTGTGTGCTGAGACCATAACAAAAAGAATGTAATGGCATAAAAGGTGGAAAATATTCGCTAGGTTTTTAAGAGCTTTGCCAATGCAGGATATATCTTGGTGCCCATAAAATGTCTGTATTCTTCATTTTAAACACAGCAGAAAACATATTATTTTAAATATGACATTTAAGTTGATGTGTTAGTTCAGCTCTGGGTCTTTTATTGAAAAAAAGAATCCTTTCACTTAACTATTGAGCTGTTACTTTTACAAATTCCTGCCATATAACTAAACCCTACTTTAAAAAACAGAAGGATACAATTTGAATTCTAATTATGTAAATGGAGATAATTGATTAGATAAGAATGTCTGAAAAAGTTAATAACAAACACTGTAAAACTGTGGCTTGACACATGTATATGTATGAACTCACAAAGACCCATTGCTTTCTTCTTCTATGTTCTTATGACTGGGTATTTTGCAAAATTTGCAGATCTATTTAAATCTGACAGGGCTGCACTGTGAGCACTTTTGCTGTGGTGACCTTGAACTTGTGGCCTCTGGGCTGTCGACCATGCACCTTAGTGCCACACTGAAAAGATGTTACTGTATTTACCTGAATCCAAGACGAGGATTTTTTTTTTTCTCCATTCAAGGCAGGGCAGGGGGGAAGAAACTTTATTTTAGATTTGAGTACTGCCTGGGACAGGTGGCAGCTGCTGCTCTGACTCCAGCCCCCACCCGAGGGTGGGGGAGACTGCATAGTGGCAGGTGAACTGTTGTCACTCCAGCTGCAGCCCCAATGTTGGGGCTGGGGCTGAAGTTGCCATTACTGCTGCTGCCTGGTTAGGGCTGGGGCCAGAGCTGCTACATAGGTTAAGCAGCAGCAGTGCGGGGAAGTGGTGTGGGGCAGGCATTGAGGTGGGGTTTACAGTTGCTGGGGGATGGATAGTTTTGGGGGTAGCTATCTGTCCCCTGCTGCTGCTTTCCCCACTTCATGACCCCTTGCTGCTGCTGCTTTTCCTGCCACAGCCTTGGGTGGGGGGGCTAGGGGGTGTGAATTTAAGATGACCTTCCAATAATTAGATTCTATACATAGAAAATTATAACAAATTTATAATTTTCCATGCATAGAATACAATTTACAGGGGTGTGGGAGGCTGTCTTAAATTGCAAATAATTTTGGATTCAGGTAAATGGGTAAATTTAAGTTATTAAATATTGGAAGGGTTGCAATATTTGTGTGCCACTGAAAAAGAAAACAGTAGTGTTTTACTTTCATAAAATATACACATTGCTATAAATAGACCTCCAATTTGCTGTTTGAAAAGTGAAGCTTGCAATTCCTCAAGAGCAGTTTTGACGAATAAAGCACAGCTGTTATGACTTCCAAAAGTCTACTTTACTTTTTAATTTTTTTTAATTAAACAGCTTTGTTTTATGTCACATTCAGGATTATCATTATAACCTTTTCCTCATGGTTTTATTCCATGATGCTCAGTTTGTTCCAGTTGTCTTTTCTTTGTACTATATTTGGTAAGAGAACAGGGATGGATGGTGTGTTTGTCTCAGCTAATGTACAGTTTGGCCTGAAACAGAGAGTCCTTTCCCCCCCAACTTGAAGTACAGTAGCTTTATAGCTAGAAGCATGAAGGGAACAATTTAAAAATAAAAATTTAAAAATGCAAATAATTTTCTGAAATGCAACTTATGTTAATGTTTGATATGAATTTTAGCAGTCGGATATTGGAACAGTCTCCTGCACTGAGTGCGTTTTGTAATAGTATGTTTTATTGCCAACATTTTACTTTAGCTTTAGTTAATACTTCAGGGTTTTTCCTTCTCTCCTACAGGAAGAGAGGAGTAGGAGCTGTAAGAAAATGCTGGGATCAGAACGTGGTGTGGTGGAAGAATGGTTATCAGAATTCAAGGTAAGCTTAGGCTGATGAATTGCATTGTTTTTTGTCATGGGTAATATTAGGAATGCTAATCAGTAAACATTGAAAATCAAAAGAAACTTCAACAGTATTTTAATCTTTGCTATTTTTGCATAGCACAGATGTCTGTGTAAAGGTATTAAAATAAAAAACAGGTTGAAATACAAATATAAATTTAGTTTATTATAATGGTGAAAGTATTATAGCCTGCTGTGTAGATCTGCTTTCAAAACACATCACACTATTTAAATCAATCTTATTAGAATGTAAAGGGAAACCGACTACTGTAAGTTTAACTTTGATAAACAATTTGTTATTAAAACTTAAATGTTGTTTGCCCAGTTTAAAAGTCCAGTGGAAATAGCTATTAAACAGCTATAACTTCCTCTGCAGAATTTATGAACTCTATAGTTCTTATCACTAGAAACCTGAAAGTGTTGCTATAGCTGAAAAAAACAAATAGACAAAAACTAAGCTGCCTTCATTGCTTGTTGCTTTCTGAGCTGAGAAAAATATCAAAACAGTTCATAAATAGTAATGATTAATTTTGATTTTTATTAATCTTTCTCTTTGAATAAGCTGGTCTTAGGTTTTATCAGTATTACCAGTGTTTAAGCTGATGGTGCAGTTTCGCGTCCTCGTCAGCATATGAGAATTTAGGAGATGCTAGTGCAGAATTTCTGCATGGGAGATCAGAGTAATGCAAGGATCTGATACAACGTGGTTGCCTGAGACAAGTGATATTGTCCATGACCACTTGCTTTGTGTTGCTCATGCTTCTCATGTAAGTTTAGGATAATATAAAGTGAAAGTTTGGGCAAATAACTTTATGATTGGTATTACTGGTATTTATTATAATAGGTCCTGAGCTGTTTAGGGATCTAAGCCTGTGATTTGCTGAATGCCTTCAGCTGCTGCTGAAACTAATAGTAATTGGTCTGGAAAGAACTAAATTCCATCCTTATGACAGGGAGTTGTGGATTTCAGTCTTGACTGAGGCTCAGGTTTGAAATTACTGTGTTTACTGTTGTTGGAATGAGGCTTAGTGCTTTCATAGTAATATGTCAATATATGAAATCTTTATTCTCACCTACTCATCACAGTAATTGCTGTGCCTATTTGTTTGTTTTCTCCTTAGGCATTACCTGAAACTCAAATCTCCAGTTATGCAGCAACACTACACCGGAAAAAATCACTGGTGCCAGCTCTTTATAAGGTTATTCAAGACCCAAACAATGAGGTAGGAGACTCCCAAAATCTTTTCTCCCACCAAAATAGAAAATAGTATTGAGGAGCTTGAATGTTGTTCCTCTGTTCTCAGGGGTTGATGCAGTTGCTTCTTCCACTTTTACTCTTCAGTTTTTGACAATTGCTCAATGTCATCTTGTTAAGATGTAAACTGTTGGTTCTTAAAATTGTTGAATGCTGCTGCTTGCTTTGACTGGTCAGTGTGGCATACCACCTTTTACCTGTTTCCTGTGAAGTTACAGTCTATTTGATTGTACTTTCCTCTGTTATTAGGTTACCAAGAACCAGAATGTCAAAAGGAGGGTTCATTTTAAAAGCCTAATAGTAATCTTTTGCCATAATCTGGATCCGTTTGTCTTGATGCATCCAGGGCATTAGGCTTGCATCAAAATCTCTCTCGTATCAGAAAATAAACCACTCAATGACTCTTGGCTCTTGGCTCTTGTTCTCCTTCCTCTTTTTTTTTTTTTTTAGTTTCTTTTGAGCTTTTATGTTCCGAGAAATAATCATCCCTCTGTCCTGTGTAAAAAGCAGAATAGCTAAAGGGATGTTAACACTTTTATTTGCACAAATTGCTTCCTTTAAACATTAAGAAGCACATCAGAAAATGATTTTAGAAGTCTGCTACTGGTCTATGGGAAAACTTTTAGTGTTCATAAGTTTTTAAAATTTGTTGTGATGTTTGGGGCTTTTGTGAGTGACTGTATCTTCATATAGTCTGGAAGCTCCTAGTAAACTAATAGCTGTATCAGAGAGGTCTGCAAACAAAGCCGAATTTGGATTAAGTTTGTTTGGCCATTGTTAAACTTCTCGTCAGTACATATGGGAGCTGAGGGACTTTTTATACATGGAGAACTTGCATACATTTTATTGATTTATTTTTTTCCTTTCTGAAGTAAACCTTTAAGCAGAGGCCAATCTTATAAGGTTGCAAGAGAAATGTCACTTCAACCAGTTACTTCGCTATTTAAAGGAGAAAAAAATCTGTTTAATTCTTAATCTTAATAGGCCTGAATCAAGGCACAACAAAGAAGTTTCAAATGGGATAGAACTTTGGTATCGCCTCTATTAATGTCTACAAACAGCATTGTATTACGTGTTTCGTAGATATAGTTTCTATTGGTATGTTAGTGCTCTCTTCCCCCCCACCCCCTTATTCATCCCTTGCAGATTTTGCATCCCTCACCAGTATTTTTTTGTCGTCAAAGGTATCTTTTTCCTCTTCTAGCCCCTCTTCCCCTCCACCCCCAGGAAGGCTCCTGTTTCCTTAATTTAAAGAGAATTTGTAGTGGCACTTGGATCTGTGAAAGAAAATACTTTTTCCTTAACTGCTGTTTTTGGGCATCTGAAAATGTGCTAGGTAATTTTCAAGACCACAATACCAGTCTGGACAATTTTTATATTTATTATAACAGCTAATTTTGATAATATTACCTTTGGATAGTATTTACTATTTTTTAAACTAGAACAGGACTTGTTGTTTAATATTTTTGCAACCCTTTGAACATGCAAAGTCTATACAAGTACTAAGTATTATTATAAATATGCTAAAGAGAATAGCAGATATTCAACACAGAACAAAGCTATGTGTTGTTTTTTTCCATCAAAGGGAATAAAATTGACTGGCTTGTGATGTTATTAAAATCCTGCCTTAAACAGGAGAGTCTTGAAGTAGCTTCCTTGCTTTATATGGATAGAAAAATCCATGTATGGTATTCCAAAACATAAGATTCTTTTTTTGCCAGTCTTGCCCACATTGCTGCTGCTCAGATCTGTACCTCTTTTGCTTTAGCTGTTAGAAAAGAAAAGAAAAAAAAAAAAGCTTCAGTGCAACTATTAGTTGTAAACCTTGATACCCAAGATGTCTATATAAGGTCCTTTGCATAAGGATTGCCATTGCAGTGCTCATGTGAACAACTGTTGGGTTAAAAAGTGGTGTGTTTCAGCATATATAATGTCCTATATTATTAGAAACTGATTTTTTTCCCCATCTTTGTGCTGTATGTGGGAAATGGTTATTCTGTTAAGACATAAATGATGATATAAATTAATGTTGTGTTAATGTTTTGATCAGTAATAGTATCTTTGAATGCTCATAAGAGTCTGAATATATGTACATAAAATAGATATTTTGGCCATGCACATTTCTCATACGTTCAAAGTAATTAATTATAAAGACAGGAATAAGGTTCCCAGAGTCAATAAAGCCTGCAATTTTTATTTTATTTTATTTTTTTAATCCTTTCCAACAAAAAGGATCTTCCTGTCCTGAAGAAATGGAAATAACTGATAGCCTGGAATGGAATTTTTTTGTCAATAGAATGTTGACTAAAAGTCCCCCTTTTTTTACCAGACAAGTCTGGGCTCTTTTTTGACTGTACCTCCAAGTTGCTGTATGAACTTGAGATAGTCAAATAATATCTGTGCTTCAGTTCCCTCTGTTAAGTCACAGCATCACATAGGTGTTGATTACAAGATAAAGTTTTTCCATCTTTTAAAAAACTTTAAAATAAATTAAGGTTGTAGACCTTGACCTTATGAACTGACTCAGATTTTATCATGTATCTTTCCTTTGACTTCCCTGGGTTTTAGATCAGGCCTCCAGTCACATGGGCAGTAATCTTGGTTACATGCACTGAATCTAAGTATCCCCAGGAGAAATAAGCCTTGCAGTTCATAGGGTGTCACATTCATTAAAAAGATGGTTTGTTTGGTCTTAAAGTTTCCAAAACTTCATTGACATCCTAGGACAGGGTTGCTCAACCCATAGCCCTTGGGCTTGATCCAGCCGGTGGAACAGTGTCACCTAGCCCACCGTGCTCCAGCCACAGGTATAGAAATTTGGTGATGGAGGAGTAGTTGTTGCTCCCCTGCTGCCAAATTTTGAGACCCATGGTGGGCCCCACAAGCCAGATGGCATGGTCCTGTGTGCTAGATCAGGCATGGAGGGCAGTATGGAACCTGATTCCCAGCACATGGGGTTGGCTCTGTGCCACTCATCTGGTTTGTATGGCTAAAAGGTTGAGCACCACTGTTCTAGGAGAATGAATTACTTTTGCACTGAATAGATAGGATAGGGGCTATGGCAGTGTGCACTTGCTGTCCTGCCAGTGTACCTCAGTTCTTTTCCAATATATCACTCTTAGTCACATGAAGATAAGTCTTTCTTTAAGCCCATACAATTCCTGGTCTTTCCTAGGATCTGCCAACAAGGATGCTAATATATCCAGTTGTGGTTTTGCGTTGTAGATGCCTATGAGTGTATCTACCCATTCACTTTACTGTGGAGTTGACTAACTAACTCCACAGTAAAGCAGCACCATCTACATGTGTGCCAGTATTAGGGAGCAGCAAATTTAATGAACTCTGCCATAAGATAGTAGTGTTGGGAACCGTGCTATCTTAAGGTGGAGTATTTAATTCTGCCAAAACAGACATGTAGGTGGTGATGGGCTGACTGGGGCAGGAGGGTGCTAAAGTGCAAAGGCTGCCTGCTGCCTAGCTCTGCACTTGAGCACCCTAGTGCCCCAGCCAGCCCCTCCACTGGCCAATACCGCCACCCGGAGCCTGGGGCTGACCCCCCAGACTCCCTGCCAGCCCAGAACTGCTTCACACTGGTTCAAATGGCTGCGGTTCTAGGCACATGTGTAGACACTGAGCCCAGGAGCTGACTGGCGTAAACTGCACTGGAGTTTGTCATCGCCTTAATGGAATGCATAGAGGTACCTTGTATGTATTTGTACACTTTATTTCAAAAGAGAAGGCTTATGGTAACTTTAAGCTATTCTGTCCTTTTTTTGGTAGCTCCTGGAGCCTGTCTGCCACCAGCTCTTTGAACTCTATCGTAGTTCAGAAGTTCGGCTAAAGAGATTCACTTTGCAGTTTTTGCCAGAATTGATCTGGGTTTATCTGCGTCTTACTGCCAGCAGGGATAGACAGAGTAACGGTTGCATTGAAGCATTGCTTCTTGGGATTTACAATTTGGTAAGTGAGTTAACGGATGGGTGAGAAGAGCTTTTATATGCTTTTACATTACTGAGGAATAAAAATAAAATAAAGTTCAGGAATATCACAAGAACAAAATATTATTAAAAATGGTAATGTAATGACATTTTTAATTTAGAGGTAAAGCAGTTTAATGTACAGTTAGTGAAAGTATGTTTGTAGGTCTATCTTTACAAGCTTGTAAATCGGATTGACTTCCCCTGCATAGGGCTTACTGTTCTGATTAACATTGATTCCAGTTCTTCTAACTTAGTATTTTGTTGCCTTTGTATATTTTTGTTTGTAAGAAAAATGTAGTAGCTCTTGTTTTTTAAAAGTCTAACAGTTGACACTTACAGAGAGCCTTTTCTCTGTTATGCTAAATCAGGCCTGTCCAACTGGTAGCCTGTAGGCCACATGTGGCCCCTGGGCTCCTGCTTGGCCACCACTCTGGCTGTAATAGCAGCTGGGGCTTCGGGCTGAAGCACCATGCACCATGTGGGTTCATGGTGCAGTACTGGGCAGTGATACATATCTGCAATACAGTGGTGAGTGCAGTGGTCCCTGTGCAGCCTTTGGGGCATGTCGCTCTTGTTGGTCTACAGGGCAGTTGACCTCCAGCTGCTTGGAAGATGAACAGCCCTGTGCTAACTCAGTCTTTTCACGGGAGGCTTTTTCTATTGCTTTTTCTCAACATATTTTAAGGAGAAAAATAGAGACTGAAGCAGCATTCAGCCACAAGTAATGCACAGAGGGGGACTCTTCTCAATTACAGTTATAACTAAAACAAAATGTTATTCCAACTGAAGACTTATTTGGTGGTCAGTTTTAAGGGTGATTTCAGTGTCAGAAAAAAATGTTGTCACAGACATTAAATTATGTAGGTTGGGGTGGCCACCTGTGAACAGCCTGTGTGTGGCATCTGGCAAATGCTAGAAGGAGCAGGGAACACACTGGTAGATGGGGCAGGAAGTAGAGCAGCAGTTGGGCAGGGAGCGCAGGGTGGGAAGCAGTGAGTAGGACAGCGAATTTAGGCAGAAGAAGGTGATTGGAGTGGCATTTGGGGAGGGTGTGGGGCTAATTTGTGGCATGCTGAAAAGATTGGCCCCACTGATGTAGATCTTGTAAATATATATTCTTAACGTTGCACCAGTTTTTATTAGGTTATTTATTAGCAATGTTATCAGGTTAGGCCCTTTCCTATAATGAAAATTTCACCTTTTAGAGGCCTTTGATGTAGCCTGTCCTAAAATTGTCCTTTTCTAATCAATTACAAATTTTCTTTTGCCAAGATGGGTGCTTAAATATTTTTTTCTTTATATCCTTGGTAAGCATGACATGGCTCAGCTGATTTATTTTTATCTCTTCTGTTATGTTGTTATAAATACAAAATAATTTCAGTAAAATCAAGATACTGATTTTATGCTGATGTAAATTGCATCAGAGCCTGACTAGTAGCTTTTTATTTTTATCTTTTTGGTGAGAAGTAGCTCATATTTCTGTCATTGGATTCAGTTTACATGAAGATGCTTTAGCTGGTCCTTTTAGAACTCATGTAAGTGATTCACACATGCATAAGCTCAGCAGTTTAGTACTGTATTGTTAACATTTTCTGCAGACTGAAATAGGAGATGTTTTAAATGTTTGAAGCAGTCCCCATTTTTTCCACTAGTGACAGACATCAATAGATATTCACTCAGCTACACCTTAATTTCCTTCTTTGTGACATAGTAGTTTTGCTGGTATCTTTCTCATGAAAAATACCAGATACAAACGCAAAAACAATCCTGTTTACAACTTTTCTTTGGAAAAAAAAGAAAAAAAGTGCATGAGAAATTATTTAAATCCAGACAAATGACTTTACAAATGCTATCAACTTCAGTCCCCCTTCTCTCTCTTCCATAAAGCTCTATTTTTATTTAAAATAGAGTAATTAATTTCTAGTATGTTAGAAATTTCATAGTAGAATATGGAGAGAGCAGTATTTGACATTTTATATGGGGTTACTCCATAATAAATTAAAATTGCTATGCTGTAACACAAGCAAACTAGCAGTCTTTAAGCAAATAAAAACTTTAATATGAAAGCTATCTGAAAATATCATGTCAGTCTTTCACTGTCCTTGCCAGTATATTTGTTAGAAACCCTACCAGTTGCCTTGTTTTCAACTTTTTCCTTTTGATAGATTTATTAAGATATACTACCTGTTGCCAATAAATGACTCATCAGCTGTTGTACACTTATACTTTGTGGCCTTCACCTTCAGTCTTGTTCCAGTATATAATTTTTGTGCTTTATAAATGTTGTAACTGAGAAGATTTTTAATCCATTTCTGATTCCTTGAAGAATGTGTTGTTTCAAAGCATGTGTTTGTTGCTTCAGTATGGTGCCAATAGGTGCTGTACTGAGATGTTCTGTTTATGCTGCGTTTTACAACAGTGCAGTTTTGTGGCACTGGACAATAAATTAGCTGTCAGTAGAGCTTAGAGATGTGCACAATTGCCACAGTTAGGGAGGTACCTCCAGAACCAGTTACCTCTGTTTCATAGTTGGTAGGGTCAGAAGGGACTTGAGGAGATCATCTAGTCCGACCCCCTGCCATGGCAGGAGAGTCAAACGACCTTGGCCAGATGTTTGTCCAGCCTCCTTTTAAATACCCCCAGGGTAGGAGCCAGCACCACTTCTCCTGGAAGTTGGTTCCAGGTCCTAGCCGCCCTGACAGTGAAATAGCGCTTCCTAATGTCTAGCCTGAAACTAACCTCCGCTAGCTTATGTCCGTTGTTTCTTGTAACTCCTGGGATTGCTCGGGGGAACAGGGACTCTCCCAATGCCTGCTGGTCCCCCTTGACTAGTTTGTAGACTGCCACTAGATCCCCTCTCAGCCTTCTCTTGTGGAGGCTGAACAGGTTCAGGCCTCTCCTTGTAGGGCCTGTCCTGCTGGCCCCTGATCACGCGGGTGGCTCTCCTTTGGACCCTCTCCATGTTGGCCCCATCCCTCCTGAAGTGCGGCGCCCAGAACTGGACGCAGTACTCCAACTGTGGCTTGACCAGTGTCGCATAGAGGGGGAGGATCACCTCCTTGGACCTGCTTGAGATGCATCTGTGGATGCTCGACAAGGTATGGTTGGCCTTCCTGACCGTGTCCCCACACTGTCGACCCATGTTCATTGTGGCATCAATGATGACTCCAAGATCCTTTTCTGTCTCAACACTGGTGAGAAGGGAGTTCCCCAACCTGTAGGTGTGCTGCTGGTTCTTCCTCCCCAGGTGCATTACCCTGCATTTGTCAGTGTTGAACCCCATCCTGTTCTCATCGACCCACCCCTGTAACCTGTCTAGGTCCACTTGCAGCCTGTTCCTTCCTACTAGCGTCCCCACTTCACCCCACATCACCACCCTCTGGGTGCGGCTCTCCAGCCAGTTAGTGACCCATCTGACCGTGTAGGCATCAACACCACTCTCTCCTAGTTTCTTGTGGAGAATGGGGCAAGGGACCGTGTCGAAGGCCTTCGTGAAGTCCAGAAAGACTATATCCACTATGACACCTGCATCCAAGGACTTGGTGACTTGGTCATAGAAGGCCACCAGGTTGGTTTGACAAGACCTGCCCCTAATGAACCCATGCTGGTTGCCCCTGAGCATAACCTCCCCTGCTGGCCCTTCCTGGACATGTGCCAGAATAATTCTTTCAAAAAGCTTCCCCAGGACTGAGGTAAGACTCATGGGCCTATAGTTTCCTGGATCCTCCTTCCTCCCTTTTTTGAAGATGGGGACCACATTGGCCCGTTTTCAGTCCTCTGGCACATCGCCCAAGTGCCATGAGTGCTTGTAGAGCTGTGCCAGAGGTCCCGCAATGACCCCTGTTAGTTCCTTCAGCACTCTGGGGTGGAGATCATCAGGACCTGCAGATTTAAATACATCTAGTCCCTCCAGAAGTTCCCTGACAAGGTCCTCATTAGGCCTGGGTGTACCATGCACAGGGCCCTCGGGGGCGGGGCGGGGGCGGCCAGTGAGAGAGATATCCGGGTCCATCCTCAGAAATACGGAGGCAAAGAAATTGTTGAATATGTCAGCTTTACCATCAGGTGAGAGAACCAGATTTCCTAGTGTGTCCTGCAGAGGCCCCACATTACTTGGCACCTTCCTTTGCCCCCCCCTATGTATTTGAAAAAAGACTTCTTGTTGTCCTTGATCTGGGTTGCTAGTCCCAGCTCCGTTTCTGCCTTAGCCTTCCTGACCGTCCCCCTACATTCCCGAGCTACTGAGGTATAGCCCTCTCTTGTGATGGCCCCTCCCTTCCAACAGGTGTACACCTCCTTTTTTGTTTGGAGATGTTCCTGGATGCTTTTGGTGTGCCATGGGGGCCTTTGTGCCCTCCTGCCCCCTTTGATTCGTGTATGGATTACTTCCCTTTGAGCTTGGAGGATCGTCTCCTTAAGGAGCAACCACTGCTCTTGGACGCTCAACTCCTTCCAGCTCTGGGACCTCAGTGCTTCCCCCACTAGTTTTCTTACCTCATTAAAGTCTGCCCTCCTGAAGTTTAGGGCTGCTGCCTTGCTGGAGGTTTTCACCACCTTGTGCTGGATAGTGAATTCCAGCAGACGATGATCGCTATCGCCTAGGTGGTCAAGCACCCGCAGACCCTGTACCAGGTCATCTCCCGTGGCTAGGACCAAATCTAACAAGGCGTCTCCCCTGGTGGGGCTGTGTACCTCCTGGGTTAGATGGAGGTCCTGTATGTCAGTTAAGAACCTGTGTGAGCGGTCAGACCTGGCTGTCTGCTCCTCCCAGCAGATGTCTGGCAAGTTTAGGTCACCCATGACAACCACATCCTTGGACCTAACTATCTCCATGAGCTGACTTAAGAATTCCTGGTCTTGATCTTCTCCTTGGTTGGGTGGTCTGTAGTAGACCCCCACTGTTAAGTCCCTTTCTCCCTGACCCCCTTGTACTCTAACCCAGAGCTCTTCCGTTTGCTTCTCCTCTGACCCAGTGATGCACTTTGTGGATGTGTGTTGCTCCTTGACAGAGCGCCACACCCCCACCCTTCTTACCTGTCCTACCTTTCCTGTAGAGCCTGTAGCCCTTTATATTCACTGCCCAGTCATGCATTAGGTCCCACCACGTTTCGGTAAGCCCTACTATGTCTGGATTGGTGCTGACTAGCAGGAGGACTAGTTCTTCCTGCTTGTTCCCCATGCTGCAGGCATTAGTATAGAGGCATTTGAGGCCTCCTCAGGATGAATGGACCACCCCCCTAATCCCAGTGGTACCCAGGCCCATGTCACTTACCTGATTACCTGTTTCTCTTGTCATCGGTTTAGGCTGGGCTGCGTGTGCAGGTGATGCGTGGCTTGCTTGTCTGAGGCTTCCTCCACCCACATCATCCCCTTCCCCCAACGAGCCTAGTTTTAAAGCCCGCCGGAGGAGATCCGCCAGCCTAAAAGAGAAAACACGCTGTTGCTGGGCATAATTTGGAATGTCTCATTATACCACTCCTTACCTGTACTTGGGTAGTGTAGATACACTCAAAAGGAGGAAATGTTCCATTGTAAACTGGTTTAGATATGGGTTTTTCAAAGCAACCTGCAGTAGTGGAGTCATTTCTGTTGACTTTTTTTTTTTTTTTTTTTTTGTGTCAAGTATAAAAATTTGTAAGTAAATTACTTTGCAAGGAAAAAGGTCTTACTTTATTATTTGTTTTAACTGTCTTTGCCATAAAGTCCATAGAAGATTCCAAATCCTGTTTCCTTATGTCTTTCACTACTTCAGGAAATTGCTGATAAAGATGGGAACAATAAAGTTTTATCATTCACCATTCCTTCGTTATCCAAGCCTTCAGTATACCACGAGGTAAGAATGCAGCCATGGTAAGTTAAAACTGGATTCAGTAAGGCAGGGGTTAGCTACCTACCCCTGTTGCTAAATCTAGTTTACAAAGAGATTGGATCCGGACTGCATTTTACTAAGGGCACGTCAATTTCCCAGTTGTTTGATTTTGGTTCATGTTTTGCTAAAAGCATGCCAGTTGCTTCTAGCTGCTTTAGCCAGCTGCTACAGCCCAGGTGGAGGGTTGCTCTTCTTCACTGCAGCCTCTGTTCGCTGTTACTGGAGTGGAATGCTGGCCTAGGGCACTGGCTGGGTTACAAGCTGTGGCTTGCATTTGCAAAAGGTTGCAGACTGTGTAATAAGGAATGAAAACTGGGTCCAGTCAATGTCAGAGATAAATACCCTGCGTATATCTTCAATGAATGTTCAAAGCTATAATGTTTTTGAAACAGTGTAACTTAATCTAAATGTAATGGAAGAAGGTGAAGATAGATAGATGAGCATGAAGGGAAGTTTAATTTCTACTGTTTTTTGTTTTGATATGGCTGATTCTGTTGAATCTTTAGATTTTTCTGGTGATTTTTCAGGTTTAAACCCATTTTTCACACGTCTAATTGGAATACATTTTTACATGCTATTCTTCTTTAAAAATCCTTCCCCCTCTCACTGCATGTCACTTTGTTCCTAGAATGGATGGTGACACTAAGTCACATTTTGGGGAAATATGGAGCTCAGCAAATGAAATTATTTCTGCAGTTGATGGGCCCTGGGTTATTAATGGGAAATTTAGGGTTGGGAAAGAGGGAGTTGAAAAACTGGTCCCATACTGTGGTTTATGAGATTCTGCATTATGGTGAATTGTAGTGCAGAGTGTGAGTTCACTAGCTGTTTAATAGTAAGTTGCTTAGAAACTAGCCTTAAGGAAGGGTTTTGAACTCCTTTTATGTGAAATGTCTTACAAAAATATTGGTGAAATCCTGGCTTCGCTGAAGTTGATGGCAAAGCTCCCATTGATCTAAATAGGGTCAGTGTTTTCCCCAAGAGGTTCTTGTTAACAGGTTCTTCCTTGAGATTGGAGCTAGACTCAGGCATTTTCAAGTGCATAGTTAACTGCAAAAACATAATGCCATAGTAAGTTAATTATTTCTTTCAGGTTTTCTTTGGGTAAAAATGGGCATAGTTCCCTTATTTAGAACTCATTCCATCTTTACATTTTTAGAATTGCTAATATTCAAAGTAGTCACTGATATTACACACTTATTTGTAAAATTGTGGGTGTGGAAGGTAAGCAGAGCAATATGACTTCACTAGACTTCTTACTGTAAATGTTAGAACTCAATTTTTACCAAGATAGCCATGAAGAACTTGTCATCTCAACATAATTCGTAGCAGATATGTATTCACATCACAAAACCCCCAGAAAATTGACATAGATTTGATTCTTGAAAAAGAAATCCTTGGTTAAAATAAAAGGTCTTGCAGGTCAGTACTGAGGTGCCATATTGAATATGGAACTGTTTAAGGCAGTTCTCAGACTTCATCATAACACAGACCCTTTCTACTACAGCAGGCAAAATATGGCTCACAGGCCGAATCTGGCCCGCCAGGCCATTCTGTCCAGCCTGTGGAGCCCCCCAAAAAATTTAGAAAATTTAATATTGATCTGTCCCTGGCTGCCTGTCAAAGATGACAGGAGCTAGGGGCAGTAGGACCTAGGGGAAGCCAGTGGCAGAACTAAACAGCTGTAACAGTAAGTCCGGCCCAGCCCTGCCCCCATTACCCTGAGCCCCAGCCAGAAGCTTCTGCCTAGCAGGGGCTTTTGGGGGCTGGCTTTTGGCCTGTCTCCCTGCATCGAGGGGAATACAGATAAGGAGGAGGGAGGCAGGAGAGGACTGTGGCTGATTGCCCCAGTCCTCAGGGCTGGCTGGGCCGGCTCTTGTGATCCCGGCACTGCAACTGGGAACCACATAGTGCTGGCCAGTGGGTGGGCGAGTGCGAGGAAACGGCTGCAGTAGGTGGGGGGAAGGGGCAGCAAGCGGGCATGCGGAATGCAGCGACAGCTGGGGGGGAGCGTGGGGTCCACACTGGTGCACCAAAGCCAGCGCCAGCGGGGCCCAGAGTGGGGCGGCAAGAGCATGAGCCCAGGCTCCCAGGGGCTTTACAGAGCCAGGCTGGCTCCCTCCTCTTCCTGCTTGAACAGCATAGCCCAGCTTCATAGAGCTCCTGACAGCCCAGGCCCTGCACTCCTGCTGTCACTGCTCTTCATGGCCCCCCACTCACCCCCCCTGCCTTCTGTGCTCTGGCATCATGTGTTTCCCAGCTGCAGTGCAGGAGCAGTGGGGGGAGGGGGGGCAGCAGTGGCAGATAGGGGCAAGTGGGAGCACAGGGTCCATGCTAGTGCCCTGGGGCCGGGAGTGCAGACCCCAGGCTTGCAGGAGTGCTGGCAGGGGCTGTGCCTGCCATGGAAGGGCCGTGAGCAAACCCCCTCCCCTCCACAACCCCTCAGCCATCCTCCCCAAACACTCACAGCCTCCCCAAAAACCCATACCCATCCACACCTGCACACCTATCTACCCCCCCACAAATTCCACATACACACATACCCTCTCCCACACCCTACATACCCACAAACTTATACTCACCCTCCCACTCGCACCCTCCCACAATATACAAGAGTAAGACTTCATTTTAAGCTATTATACTATCACCTCTATGTACACTACACAAATCAGGACAAAAATATTTTTTTAAATGAAATTAATGAATGTTGTAGTACCTGTTTGATTTTTAGAATATAATTTGGTATTTTTCCGGTTCAGAAATGGCAAACCCCCTTGCCAAAAGAAATAATTCTGGGGGGCAAGCGGAGGGCCGTCTGATTGCAAAGGTCAGGGGTTTCGAGGCAGGACTTCTGGTCCCAAGATGGCAACCAGGGGGTGGGGTACCTGTCAAGGGCCGGGGCTATCCATGTGGCCCTCGATGGCTTGCCAAAACTCAATAAGCAGCTCTGTCCAAAATAATTGCCTGCTCCTGTACTCTACAGGATGTTTTTGTGAGCCACCTTCCAATTGTCACCAGGGGACTGCCAAGGTTAGCCAGTTTTTCACAGGCCACCAAAAGTGGTTGTTTTGAATAACTAGTTGTGTAGGAAAACTTGTTTGAAACATTGCCCCACTGTCTCTGGCTGGTCCCATTTATATGTGCAACAAAGTTACCTTCATATCCAACAAATCGATGTCCTTCCCCCTGCCCTGTCAAGTTAAGTTTTCCAGGCAGAATAGAAGGTCTGGACAGATCATAACTTTTGGATGAGGCTGTTTTGTAATTCCGTGCATGGAGCTAAGAATTCAGCTCTTAATTTCTTAACTTCTTACCCCTTAGCCCTCCACTATTGGATCCATGGCTTTGACTGAGGGAGCTCTATGTCAGCATGACCTGATCAGGGTGGTTTATAGTGATCTTCATCCACAGAGAGAAACCTTCACTGCGCAAAACAGGCAAGTAGACAAGCCAGAAATATTTGATAAGTTTTTCAGCAGAGCTAGGCATTAAGGGTGAGTGCGATGCTTCTTTTTTCTTTTTGTAATTCTAGAGAAATATGGAAAGGAGAAATAAATTCTAGGTATTCCAGTTTGCTAGGTCTATGTGGTGTTCACACTGTATAGTGAGGCCCTTTTTCTAAACTCTAGAATCTGTTAATCTGACCAGTGTAGATGCAAATAATTTCTGCATTATGTCCATGTTCCTAAATCCTGTCTTTTGGGCCATTTACAATACTGAACATTTGACAGACCAATACTAAGATAAAATAACTTTACAGGAAGGCAAACTTTTTCCATACCTTGGCTATTTTCACTTTATTCTTAATTAAAAGGAAGCAGAGAACTTACATATTTACTAACAAATTGACCGTGAACAATGTTGCGGGGGGGAGGGGCAGGGACAGAGTACTGCCACCCACCACCCTGTGCTGCTGCTGCCTCCCAGGAGCAAGAGTCCGGGGGGGGGGAAGCTTGCATGTGGCAGCTGCTGTGACCTACTGCCTCGTGCTGTTACCACTCATCCGGCCGCACACCCCCCCCCATGCTTCATGTCCTGTCCCGCATCCCTCCCTCCCTCCCCTGGCCCATGCCACTGCCATCTCCCGGGGGGGTGGGGCTTGAATGCAGCCTGACGCAGAGTGGAGGCAGTGCGGGACAGCGGGTGGTGGTGACAGCATGCAAGCTTCCCTGTACTGCTCCAGAGAGGAGGCGCCAGCATGGGGTGGTGGGTGGCAGCACTCTGTGCCTGCCTGCCTGCCCTGTCCATCATTCTTAATGCAGCAGTGGCTGGAGCCATGCTCTGCCGGGAGCCACGCCCACTCCCAAGAGCATTATGGACAGACACACAGACAGATGGATTAAGCCCTAATATATATAGTTCATTTCTTTGGGCGTGCGTGTGCTGTATTTCTGGTGATGACACCTTGCTCTGTGAGAAACCATAAACAAGACTTAAGATTTTCTGGTGGAGTATTAGAATCTCAGTTTACATAATTAATTTGCCATGTTCTGATCTCTTTTCAGATTTGAGGTACTGAGCTTCCTTATGTTGTGCTATAACTCTGCTATTGTCTACATGCCTGCCTCCTCCTATCAGTCACTTTGCAGGATGGGCTCCAGGTGAGAGACTAGCACTTGAAATAGCTGAAAGAGAAATGCTTCTTGAGATCATTCTGCCCACTTGATGGATGTAACTTTCAACTGAGTCTTTGAACTTAATTGGAAACTTCTGTGTATATACACCAATGGATAGTATTTCTAGTGTTTGTTTTAGTTTTAGGTCCTGGAACATTAAGTAATAGGAAAAACTAATCCTATTGTGGCTTTCACAAGTAAATTCCATGAATGCAAAAATTCTGGCTAAATATACCCCTATTTACTCTGCTTCCATGCATTAGTCCAGCTTTCTTTGAATTGATTTAGATTGATTTGCAAAGCATTATGTAGTCTGATAGTTCATTTCTTAGTAACAGCCCACTTACTAGAGAAACTGTCAAAATTTATCATACTGTATACTAATCTTTATGTGACCTCTTCCTTGAATAGTATTTAAGGCAGCTTACTGGCATTGATTCCTTCTTTTTGTTCTAAAAATTTTGAATATTCTGATACCCTCATGTCTTTTCCTGTGTACCAGTTATTATTCAGCCACCGTCTATTTTTTTTTCTTTATAATTTATATTTTCAGTGCCAGTATTTGGCATTTTTATACGTCTTTTCAGTTTTAGCAGTGTACTTCTATATGTCTGTGACAATCATTGCAAGCCATACAGATATAGTTTTTCTGCAATACAACATCAGAATTTTTCTATCTGTATATATTCCACAGTGCATGTATGTAGTGTGCAAGACTTCCTATTTTGTTCATTTCTTGTATTGTTCCAAGTTTTGTTCCCAAGTCTTGTGGGGCCAAATTCAGTCCTGTTATACTTATTACCTTTACTTGAGGTACTCTTGGGTTGAATTTGGCCAACATATCCAGCAGGGGATTGAATTAGATGACCTGTGGTCCCTTGCAGCCCTTCTTTCCTATGAGCTGAACTTCCTTCCGTACACTTTCACTCAAACTGGGTTCTACTCAATATGCAGCTCTTCACGTGTGAGGAGAGCCTTCCAAACTCCTATTCAGCAACTGCAACCGGTTTCTCCTTCCCCCATCCCCAAAGAAGCCCAAAAACAAACTATCAAAAAACCTGGCTTCTGTATTGTGACTACAGTTGAGCTAAAAATTTATGTATACATGTCAAGGTATGTACGTGCCTAAATGAGTAGTAACAGCATTTGTCTTATTGTTACCTTTACTTTAACTAGGTCTTTACCAGTCTCCTGCTTGAACAGTTCTTACCTTTTTTTATCACAGAACATAATTTAGACTTGAGGCAAGAATTGCCTTTTGTTCTGCAAAGAACCCAGTGCAGTTCTGAAAAGTGTAAAGCTAATTGCTATAAAAATACTGCTTACACCTGTGGTGCGTTTTTTGGGGTTTTTTTCTCAGTGCTGTAACTAGTTCAGAAATGGTACTTGAAATGATCATTTTGAATCGATAGTTGAGTGGTTCTAAAAGAGATTATAACCAGAGATCCTGGTTTTCCCTGATTTTAAAAATTGCAAATTCTCTGATTTTTTTAAAACCCCCAAAATCCATGATTAATATTTAAAGGCCCCTCCACAGTTCCCCTGGCTCTGCTGGTGCCCCTCACTCCCCCAGCCCTGCCAGAGGGGACTCCAGGGACCTGGGTCCGCAGCAGGCAGCGGCTGTTGCAGCAGAGCCTGGCTCCCTGACTCCCCTCCCCCCCGCTGTCTGCCCACTGGGCTTGGGTGGGGGGAAGCGGCTCCCTGCTGCAGCGTGCACTCCTGGGGGGGGCTGGGGGACCCGTGCCCCCTACATCTGTTCATGGGGCAGGGGCTGTGTGCTGCCTGCTGTGGGCTCCCACCCTGCTGCCCTTTCCCGGGGCCTCCACAGTCTGGTGTGTGAGACCTGTCACTGCAGGGAACAGTGGGGAACAGCTTGCCTGCTGCAAGCTCCATTCTGTCCTGGTGAAGCATCCCCTCCTTGTACAGTTGCAGCGTTGGTGTGGGGTTGTGCATAGGAGATGCCAGCAGCAGCAGCAGCAGGCAGTCTTCCTGCATGGCTCCACTGTTCCTTGCAGCACCATGTTGCACACGATGGGCTGCAGAGGTCCCAGAGAGGGCAGCAGCACAGGGAACTTGATCCTGAAGTAGGCAGTATGCAGCCTCCGTCCCATGTACAGATCTGGGGGGCACAGGTCCCTCCTGCCTCCCTGGGAGTGCACACAGCAGCGGGAAGCCTGTCCCACCCCCTCACCCCCTGGACCAGCTGCCTGCGGCCCCATCCTGCTTCCTGCCAGGGCCCTGCGCTCATATATTGTGGCCCTGAGCCTCAAGCACTGCCTGGCTGGGCAGCAGCCCCAGCCCCAGTTTTAGCCCTACTCAACTCCCTCCCTCCCTGTGGGGGGCCTCAATCCCCATCCTACCCCAAAAGTTACCTGCAGTAGCTGCTGCCCAGGCTGCCTGGGGCCATGTGCATGTACATGCACATAGTGCACCCTGCCTCACTGCCCTCCTCCCATTCTCTGCCAGCCTGCAGAGGGCTCATTGCAAAACTGCAAAATCTGCAGGTTTCTCCAGTAAAATGAGAAATCTGTGTTTGCCTCTGGTAAAAGGTAAAATCCGTGGCTTACTCCATTTTTCCGTAGGAAACGGAAAACCCAGATCCCTGATTATAACACTGCACTTAATGCACCACACCCAAGTTGGGTTCCTTTTCATTATCAACTATTTCCTGCCCTACAGGTAACTTTGATTCTTTCTTATGGTTCTTTTTTTGACTGTGTAAGTCTGGCTGTGCTTCATCGTTCTTTATGCTTTTTGAAAGGTTTAATGAAAACGAGGTAAATCCATGTCTGTTCTTTAATTTTGTATACCAGTGCAAGTAATGTATACTAATAGTCAAGCATGCTTTTCTATTTAGAAGTCCTTTAAAGTGTTCATACTAAATTCTAAAATTAAGGTACGTTAATTTAAATAATGGAAAGGTAGTTTTTGAATGTCATTGTGTAAAGTTGGGGTAATATAGCTGTTTGTGCAATAAAAGATCACCCACAACTTCTAATCTTAAAGAGCAAATTGCTTTCTAGACTAAAAAAGAAACATTGTCAGTTTCTTTCCAACAAGGCAGGGAAGAAGAAATATAATGATAGTTTAGAAGAAATGCAACCACTGCATTTTTTGTGTGTGTGTGCCTATAAATGAAACAATCAACGTTTTCTTGTCTTCATTTTCCCTTCTGTATTTTGTTTCACCTATGGGGAAGACGCAACACTGTAGGCTATATATAAGGACCTTCTAAGAACACAGTGGAAGTGCTATTGCACGGTGGCTCTTTTGATTATTGCAGTTGTTCTCCCCTGGCTGTAGATTGGTGGAGGGGTGTCATCACTAGCTCCTGATTGACCAGGATGTGAAAGCTACAGTTTTACATGTGGTGCAGTTTTTGCCTCCTGGCTGGTCGTCAGCAGGGTGGCTGGGGCCCCTCAGTCAATTGGCAGCAGGAGGCACAAACTGTGCCATATTTAAAACCACTTTTTTGCCTTCCTGTCAATTGGGAGCAAGCAGCACTGGGGGGGAGGGGCGGGAGGGTGAACAGGGGAAACTATGATTACAGGAGCTGCCACACAGCGTATTTCTGCCACAATTTTTTGGTAGGTCCCTACCTATTTATTTGCTGGATTACGTATTGTTTCTTTAAAGGATTAGCACGTTTACTTAAATATAATAAATTAAATCATCCATCTGTTTTACCTAAGTGAATGTTAAACAGTCTCAAAACCAAAACAATAATAAAAATAACTAAACTAAACCCTGATTAAAACTGGTTCTATCAGGTTTAAATATAGTACAGTACATGCACATTGCTAACAAGACCATGTTTTCAAAATTCTGGAGAAATTTATAAGCCTAGTAGCATACCCTGGTTGCAAGTCGACTACCCATGGCAGACCAAAGGCATACGTGCTTTGTTCTCTGGTGCTGTTTTTCTTTTTTTATGATATTTCTGAAATCTTTGCGGTAGATTTCCAGTTTTCACCTGGGTACAGAACTTTGCAAACAGCAGTAGTTCTGCTGTCTACTGTTGGTAAGATGCTGTTCCTTTACAGTATTCTCTTTTAGGAAGTAACTTTCTTTGGAGAGACATACTTAGCAAGCATGGACCTTGTATCTAAGCACAAGCTGTGCTGTCAAGTATAAATATGCTTGTGTGTTCTTATGTAGCTCTCCTTAAACTTCTGAGAACCATTTTGAAACCTTTTTATTCCATCCATCTCAGTGTACTGAGTAGTGATGCATTTTTTTGCATAGTTTCTTTTTTCCTTTGGAAAAGATGCTGGATCAATAAATCTGGAAATCAAAATGTCATAGTTCTTCATAGACTAATTATCTAGAACCTTATGGTTCGTGCCTCAAATGTGGCGCTCCTGACCTGGTATGGCACTCGCGCATGATGAGGGTAGTTAGATTTTGGGCAGTCAGTGCTTGCTTTCAATCAAGACAAGGTTGCTACTAGTTCTAGCTGTGTTCACCATTTTTTGTCATGTTTCCGTGTCCAACTTATTTCACAGAAGCCAATAAGCACACATCAGATAATGAAAGGTTTTGGCATTTGTTTGGATTGGACCTAGCAAACTAAATATTAAATGCTTTTAGATTTTTGTGAGAGGTGTCTCTTAATTAAGACTTTCTTAGTTAAATTAATTCCCTCATTTCTTTAAAAGACTAAGAAAAGTCATGCATGTGATCATTTTTTGGCAAGTGGTTGCTATTTGCCATATTTCCTGGAAGAGGCATGATGTTCTGCTAGCTAAAGGAATTATTTTTGTAGATAACTGGTGCACTCAATCTTCTATATAATCGTATATATATTAGTGACTCTCAGCCAGAGTGCCGTGGCACCTTGGGGTGCCATGAAGTTCTTTTGAGGGTGCTACTTAATATTAGCAGCTAGGTATGCAAATACCTATGCATGATTCACAAGATAAACACAGAGATTTCAAATAGGATCTCAAAATATTTTTACTTTTTGTGTGTTTCTTCTGAGTTCTGTGCAACAGAAGAATTGCTCTATTTTTCTATAATGGAAAAAAAGTGAAAACTTAGAGCTGGTGTTTTCTGAGGCATGCGTTCAGTCCAGTGGGGTTCCTTGAGTTTGTTGAGGTTGAGAGAGACTGGTCAATATCATCAATGCTTCTTTTTTAGATTAGGTCAAGTTCACATAATCCTTTTCTTAGTTCTGCCTAAAACTCTCGTCTTTCCACATCCCTTTTTTATTTTTTTTTAAACTTGCTGTAAAATTTGAGCTCTTGAATAATTGAGATATAAAAAAAGAGTTGGTATGTTCATTATCAAATTCTAGGCTCCACTGTGTCTACTGCTTCTAAGGGCTAATGCTTGTTACGTTAATTGTTTGCCTAAGAAGTACTGACTATGAGTATAAAAGTAAATATGCATTAGTGGCTGTGTGCAACTTCCATGCTATCTAGAATTTAGATTTCAAAATTGTAAGTAAAAGTGACTGAATGGTAGGTACAGTGTGCTTGCTATTGTGCAGTATATGGGGAAAATTAAGTCCCTGCTCCAAGAAGTTGGCAATAAAAAGAAAATTGTAAGCGTTATTATTTTTCCCCTGGTTTTATTTTTTAATTAAATGTTCACCTATTAATATTCTATTATTGCGTATCACCAGGGATCCTGGTTTTCGCTGGTAAAAAAATTACAAATTCTCTGAATAAACCCCCCCAAATCTGCAATTAAAATGAAATACCACTATGGATGGATGGATAGATAAATTGAACACAATTTTGTATTGATATACTTACAATTTTAAAGCAATTTAGAAGTTTGCCAGTGCCTCAGTTACTATAATAACATAAATTCTAAAAACCTGTAAATTCTAGTATTTGATTTTGGGCTTTTTCTCATGGAAAATCAGAGCTCCCCCTGCCCTGCCAGCTCACAGGATGTAGGTCCAGGCCCCTCACTCCCAAACCACAGCCCCCAAGCTCTGCTGGTGCCCCTCACTTGCCTCCTGGCCCTTCTGGTTCCTGGCTCTGCCGGAGGGGGCCCCTAGCTGCCAGGACTTTGGGGCCAGGGACTTGGGTCTGTAGCCACCTGCTCCCCACAGCAGCATCTGAGCCTTGGCTGCCACCCTCAGGAGGTGGCAGCTGTTGCAGCATAGCAGAGCACAGAGCCCAGCTCCATCCCCAATGGCAAGCAGCACAGCTGCAGCAGAGCCTGTGGGGAGGGTGGGTGTGGGCTTGGGCAGGGGCCAGCTCCCCACTGCTGTGCATACTCCCGGAGAGGTGTAAGGCGGGGGACACATTCCACCCAAATCTATATGTGGGGCAGGTATGGGCTGCCCTCTGTGGGCTCAGGCACCCTGCCCTGCTGCCCTCCTCTGGGTCCTCTACAGGGCAGAGCAGGGCTGGACAGGGAAGCTCCTGGCTGCTGTGAGCTCTGCATTGCCCTGGTGATGCAACCCTGTCTACCCCACAGCAGCAAGGGGCACAACCCCATGCTACTGCCCCTGCTGCTGCTAGGTGGACAGAGGATGCCTTGCCAGGGTGATGCAGGGCTCGCAGTGGCAAAGAGCTTTCCCACCTGGCCCCATTTTGCCCTGCCATACTGGGTCCTACCCACTGGGCTGCAGGGCGGGGAGTCTGAACCTGCAGTAGGAAGCCTGCCCCTGCCCAGTGCACAGATTTGCAGAGCATGGATCCTCCTGTCTCCTCTGGGAGTGTGTGCAGTGGCGGGGAGCTGCCTGTGGCTGCGGCCCTGTCCTGCTCCCTGCCAGAGCCCTGAGGGTCCCAAGTTGGTGATTTTATGCAAACTGATGTGAGTACTGGCTGTGTGGAGATGATTGTTGCAGCTATGGGCAAAGTTTCAGGCCTTTGTTTGGGGGTGCTGTTTTTATAATCTGAAGAGTTGACATGAGAATAAACGACAAGGAATGTTTAGTAGGGGTTTTTGAGGGTTTTTTTGCTTTTTACATAATTAGGGTTTACATGAGCCCCTCTCATTTGAAGACTCAGTTTTGATTTTTGTTACATTTTGCCAGGCTTTGTGTGAGCGGATTTCCAAGGCAACATGAAAAACGGTGGAAAGAACCTTGTGGCAGAGTGGTACTAGATCCTGAATTCATGGTGCAGCTGCTTACAGGTGTCTATTATGCCATGTAAGTAGGTGGGGCTTGGAAGTGGAAGAGATGGCTGATTTCTACCTTATTAAAATACCTGGTTTTCCCTCTGTTTTTATGCATAAAAGCACAAACTAAGCCTCGCCTTGCATTTGATTTATTTCATTGGTGAGCAGATATTTTGGGGGGATGCCTTTGTCATCTATAAGCCTATTTATTAGTCACCAGCATTGAGTGCTGAAGCATTGAGTTCTTTTGTTTTCATCTTCCTCAGATATGTCACTTCTACAGCATATCTTCTTTCTGTCAGTGTAATAACTTCAAACTTTAAGATAACCAAGTTCTCTTGAACAACAGCATGACTTGCAATTACTGAGTTTGGCATTTAGCCATTTCTGATTGAAATCCAATCGTAGCAAATTAAAATTAACCTTTTTAAGTATTGATCTCCTTTTCTTGATTGTGAGACTAATTATGATAATGTCTGAGTGGCTCAAAAATGGGAGAAAATGGTTAGGTATAATATTGAGGCTAATAACAGGTCCTCTGCTTATTGTTTTATACTAAGAGAAATGAGATGGGAGAGTAGGATGAGAAGAATATGATGTTAATGTATATTCTATGTAGATAAAAAGGAGAAGGGCTTGGAAAGTACTGAACAATAGAAGTCCCTTGTTCTGTGTTTGTTTTTTAGATATAATGGACAGTGGGATCTTGGCCAGGAGGTGTTGGATGATATAATTTACAGAGCTCAACTTGAACTTTTCTCTCAGCCACTGCTGGTAAGAAAGAGGCCACTGAAATAACTTTTATTTAAGTAATATATACGTACACACCCCTGTAATTGTATATCTATTGTGTGTAATATATATAAAAAATGTAATGTGCTTATAAAATGGATTTTTCCTAAAAGGTTTATTTAGAAGTTACAGTTATTTACTACATTCCAACCAGTATTTGTGGTAGGATGCTTGATATCTTTAACAGCTATTCATATAATACTCCTTTGCTTAAGTTAAAATTGCCTTTTTGCTGTCATGCTCTCCTGACCTGCAGCAGTGCTGGCAGTGTGAGTAAAAGTGAGTAGAGCTGAACTTCCTAAGTCATTTTACCTACAGATCTAACTACAGATTTACAATAACTGAATCAGATGGTCTGAATCCATTCTATTCTGTAGCTGGTTTTCTAGATAAGGCACTTTTTTCTAGGAACATAATTTGTTTGTTTGTTTTTAATTTCCACTGCAAGTCTTGGACATAAAAGAAGAAAGACAAAGGCAAGAAAGATAGGTGAAAGGAGAAGGATGTATGTGACTGGAGGGGAAGAAGAAACCTCGTAAAGGGAGAGGAAGAATGGTCATTTTTAGGAGGACGGGGGGAAAGGATTGAAACAGGAAAAATATCAGTCAGAGTGGAATGCTGTTGTTGTCATCTTGCCAATTATTGGTCTAGAGTTAATGTAGGAAGTAGGTTTTTGGGGTGTTCCCTGAGCTAATGCACAATAAATTTGTTTGATTTACTCTAAAAGAAATGCTTGTTACTTAAAGTACAACCCTTTTATTAAGAGAAGAATTAAGTAGGAACTTCTTTCTTTTGGCAATCCAGAGATGAATTCCTCACATCTCAGTAAATTTGTTAGTGTGATGAATTGATTTTGTTTAGAACATTTAGCTGGATGCCTTTTGTGAGTTAAGTATTTTTAAATGCATCTTACCTGGTGAATTCTTACAACACTGATTTCCTTTAGGAAATGACTCGTACCATTAGACTGGAATTTTTTAATGAAATATTGAACCCGAGGAAGTGAAAATTTGCAACAATATGAAGCACATAGGTGGATCTATTTTTTAATTTAATAGAGTAATAGTTATTGAAAAGGAAATATTAGCTCCTGGTTGTAAATCATTGTACACTCTTAAAATAAAGATGCAGATTTAACAAACGGTTGGCTTCCTGCCCCCTGCCCCTTTCTCTCAGAAGATAACTCCTTTTGAGTATAAAACTGATTGTTACAACCTTGTCTTAACCATTCCACACTCCTTGCCTACTCCAATGATTTTCTGACCTCCAGACATATGTCCCTCTCTGAAATTATTAAATTACACTTCAGGACACTCCTCCTTTTCCTTTCAAAAAGCATTTAGATTCTTCAAAAAGGATGGTTTAGTTCTACATAGGATGGATTGGATGTCCCTATCCCTGCTACATATTGAAGCAGTTGTCCCCTTTGACTCTATAACTAGCAGTGTCTTGTCATCCAGTTGTTTTCTGTTTGTTGTTTTTTTTTCCAGGAGCCACATGCAATCTAGTAGAAAGATAAAATCATGCTTAAAAAATAACATTTAAAGCAATTGCTAGCATTAAATCAAGTACTTGCTATGTGGTTTCACACATGATTTTCATCATGAATCCCCTGATTTTTTAAAAGGAGGAAAGCCACAAGCAAATATTATTTTTAGACATCTGTATTAGGGCATTTGTATAGTTGACCATCAGTTGTCATTAATGTGAAAAATATTACAACCCACCATATTTTTAGTTCTCCTTGGAGAACTTTGGCTACACAGTAGATTAGTGCTTCCTTTTACACAGGTTTCTGTGTTTGTATACTCTTCCAAACAGAAAAAAAGTTGCTGAAATTGTAGCATCATTAAGATAAGAAATAACTCAAGGGTAGAAGTTCTGTTCTGGGCCAGCCATCTTCAGCACTTCTCAAACACTGCACATTGGGGCAGGGATAGGGGGAAGATAGAAAGATAGAAATCATGCAAGAAAATCTAAGTTTCTAAACAAATGTGATATGGCAGTTTCACAGCAGAGAAAACCCTGAGGGCTTCTGTAGTGGGTGGTTAATTGAAAAGACGCAGTATTCTTGTCCAGCTTCTCTGGATTAAAGAGTTGACCCAGTGCCACTGTGGTGATGAATGTGCTCCTTTATCTGTGCAACTTTGCCAGAGTCTGTACTCCTGATGCTTCTGAAGACTAGACTTTTCTGGCCTGCAGCCTGTTCTGCTTTTTCACTTGTGCTGTGTTAACCAGAGCTTGCAACTTAAAACGTTACTACCTCCCTGATGTATTTTGAGACCTTTTAGTGCTCACTGGCCTTGATGGGCCTAATATGATAGCATGATAACAAGGCAGTTGGACAAGACAGATGAGAAGCATCATCATTTAAAATTATATGTTTTGTTTCTGGGAAGGCTTGTGAGTGCTGCATGGTGTTTCCTTAGTATGCCTTTGTTTTTCTGGTGGACTAGATTTATTTTCTTCCAGGATTTCTCTTCTTCAACACAGGTTTTTAATATGTGTGGTTGAAGATGCCTCCAGTCTTCCACAATTACAGGGTTCCATAATTTCTACCCCTGTTCTTTCAGAGAGGCTCCCTGGATATTAGTCTTTATTTTCAGTATTAAATGTGCTCTCTGTAGACAGCACTGTACCTAGGCTCCTGGTGTCCCTGGGCAAACTTTTAGTATCAGACCCCCCCCTTTGCTAGAGATAATGTTGATGATGATAATAAAAATTACCATTTTCAGGTCCCTTTTCTGTCTGGGCCCTGAGTGACCACCTGGTGCGCTCATGCCTGTATCCAGCCCTGTGTGTAGAACTGAGTATTTGAGGGTTTTTAATATAAGCAGGCTGAGGTTGAATGCAAGAGCTGCAGCAAAGGGAGGCCTGTAAGCATGTTTGTTTGAATATCTCACAAATGGGTGGATGAAGCTGGGAGCATTGCTGAACTAAAGGAAGCTAAATGAAATGCATTGAGGGAGGAGCAGAGTCTTATGAAGAGTGTTCAAGGTGGTGCTAAGAATATCCGAAAACTCAAAAGACGTCAAATGGAAAACCAGAGATTTGAAAATAGAGGGGTTCCGCTTCTTTCCACATGTGCCTGACTTGGGCAGTTCTACAGCATACATTAGGGTCTTTATTTCAGCACTATGAACATCAGAGGATAATGCCCTTTTATCTTGTTGACCTTTATTTTATTTGAACTAACCGGGGTATTCTTACCACATTTTCCGATTTTAACTTATTGTACTAAGGTTTACTTGTCTTTGGCCTGAGTAACCAAATAGTCTGTGTGAATACAGACCATGTCTGTATCTGTCTAGCACATCCTACTTAAAGCAGACTTCAGCCTTTAACATACTTGTGTCTCTGCATCTGCAATTTTTGTTAAATCATTGATTTAATGTTATGGATTTTATTGGCAGGGAAAGCTTGTCCCACCCACTGTAGCATCTGTTGCTATGAAGGATGTGTTTCTGGGTATGGATAAACATACTTTAGCTGTTTTAACGAGGAAGGGGAGCTGCTGCTTGTGAACATGCTTCAGCTCTTATGCTGTAATTGTAACATTTGTGTGATACTGTAGTAATGCAAGTATTGAAACAGGCTACCTAGAGAGGTTATAGAATCTGCATCATCCTTGGCAGGTTTTTTTTTTTGAGCAGGTTAGGCAAATGCTTATCTAGGATGGTGTAGATAGATGGAGAGGAGGGGTGTGGGAGGAATGATCCTGCCTTGATTAGGGGATTGAATTGGAACAGAGGTTGGCAGTTTATAGCCTGCAGGCCACATCCAGTCTGCAAAGGTCTGATATAGCCCCAGTAGGCAGCAGGCAGCTGTGACATGCTGTCCATTCCCCGCTGTATCCCTTCTAGCTGCCCTCTGGTGCTTGCCCTTACCGTTGTCAGAGAATGTGTTTGTTCAATACACTCCTTGGAGTGTATTGTACAAGTTCAAAACATGTTTTATATTACTGTTAATGCTGCAAAGGTCCATTACAGGGGTGCTCAACATTTGGCCCTGTGGGCTGGTTAAGGGGTGGGTCTGGTCTGTGGGTGGATCCCACACTGGGTTACCACCCTGGCCCCACACCCAATCTAGTCTGCAGGGTCATGCTGTCCACCCACAGGGCTCCCCAGGTCTGAAAATTTGGCAGTAGAGAAGTGGCAGTTAATGTTGCCACCAGTCTCTCATTGCCAAATGTTTGGAGCCATGGGGGAGCCCTGCAGGTTGGCTAGCATGGCTCCATGGGCCAAGTGGGTTGAGCATCCCTGCTTAAGAAGATGAAGGCAGGTTCAGTTTTCATCACTTATTGTGAAAGTTGCAAACCAGATTGCAATTATGACTTCTCTATTACTGGTGGTGTTGCATGTGCCACAGAGCATACCGATTTGAATCTGTGTGTGTTGGGGGGTGGTGGTGGAATTGGTTCATATCCTAAACTGAATTAGCAGGTGACTGTTAATCAGCCATCTTTCTATTTTTTTTTTTTTTTTTAAACTGGAATTTTCATCTGGAAGTATCTAATGCCTATTTTATAAATGTTTTTCTGTTTATAAAGTTTTTTAATTCTCAAAACTGGAAAATTAAATAAAGATTTTACAATAAGTGAAAATGATAAAGGAAACTTTATCTTAATGATTTGAAGCACCTTGCTAGTCAGACTTGTGCTAAAACCTTGTAGGAATTTTTTTTCTCAAAAGAAAGGGGTAGCAGAAGACTGAAAATTTAATCACAGCACCTTTATGAAACTAGCATATTTTCATTTGTTGTCAGGCATAGTACTTCCACTGTTTCCGTCAACATGGATTGTGACGCATTTCTTTGAGGGTGATATAAAATGATAATGGGGAGCCTCAAGCCTTCTTTAAAACACCAGATTTCTGTTGAGTCCAACATTTTGTTTTCAAAGGATGAGCCTTGAAGTTCTTGCCACATTTGGCAAGAATACATCACACTGCCATGCAACAGTCTTTACTGTCTCCCCTACCCAATCTTTTAATTTGGCACAAAATCTGGCATCACTCTTTAGTACAATAAAGGATGATAAATTTGTATAGCCTTTTACTGTTATTTTAGGTTGCAAATGCCATGAAGAACTCATTGCCCTTTGATGCCCCGGATGCATCGCAGGAAGGCCAGAAGGTGCTGAAAGTGGAGGTCACTCCCACAGTACCGAGAATCTCTCGGACTGCCATTACAACAGCTTCAATCCGTCGCCATCGCTGGAGGAGAGAAGGTGAGCTATCTCTCTGCACAGTGAATTGTGCAGCATACTGTTTTCATCCCCGTTGTTTATGACCTGGCTTCTAGTTTGAATGTTGGCGAAACAGTTTTATTTAATTATTTAAAAAAAGTGTAGTGCTTTACATCTTCAGAGCACTGCATGGATGTGAACTTTAAATATATTTATAGATAGGACTCTAGGAGGTAGGTAAGTAAAACAAGAAACTGGGAGAAGTTTAGTAACTTTTCTGTGTTGCATAGCATAGCAGTGGAATTAGTATTTAGGAGTTTTTTGCTACCCCTCCCACACTCGGCCTACTAACTATATTGCCTCATATCAGTAATTAGAGCAAGTAGTAATACTGGCCTGACTCTTTCAAAGGTACTGAGCATCCCCTGTTCCCACTGAAGTCCAGTGGAGATCTAGTTGAGTGATTTTAAGTAAGATCATTTCCTATTAGTGTGTGAAGGAACATGCCATAAATTATGTAGAGCTAGTTAAGGAATTTTATTTATTTATTTTGGTGGATAACTAGGTACCTAAGAATAATACTTAATTATTCAAGGAGAAAAAATAGATATGGTGGTAATATTAACTTTAATATATGAGTAAGCATCTTTAGTATGTGGCAAAATTTTGTTTTTGAAGCCTGTCAGGGTTACAAAGCTTTGTGTACTTTCATGTGTAAGACATTTAACTAAAAAGGCTGCATAAATGGCTCTACCTTAAATGGTAGAAATTACTTAAAAATAAACTGCAAAAGAGGAATAGGAGTTTGAAAACAAAGACTAGGCTTTCCTCTGTAATCCATTACAGCTCAAATAGTGAGGTGATTTATAATCTCTTGTCTTCTAGTCAGGTCAGGCTGTCCAGGCCAAAGAGCAGGTGTTACCATTTTGCAGATTGTTAGTCACGTCTGTTCTTATTGCAGTGTCATTCTATTCATCTACCAGTCTATCAGTACAGTATAGCTCATCTGTCCCTTTCTATGGGTGTACACACAACTGTAACTGTGTGTGGATAGTGTATGTTTGTTCCATGTCCGTGTAAACCTT